GCGGTGGGAGGTTTTTCACGGCCAGCGTCTCTAGGCTTGATGTCAGATAGGCCGCTCGGTTGGACCGTAACACGGAATTTCTGGGAGAAAGCCGTTACGAAAACCTGGAGGTAATAGGAGGCTTTTGACAGCTTTACAGCTGTGGAGCAAACCTCTGAAAGAAGTACGGGAGAGCGAAACACTTTTTCCCGCTTCAGTAAATGCAAGCATGACAGCGATGGGTAAATCCGTTTCTAAAAAAATTACTTCTATACAAGTAATATACAAGTAATTTTTACTTTCGTACTACAGCATGAGTTGCAATGCCCGGTCGTATTTAATAGCTCACTAGTTGTCAAAATTAGAAAGCACGTGAAGAAACCACTGTGACTGACTTAGCATCATATGTTGCACGTCAAGATGCACGATGTCGATCAGTGTAACGCTGTATTTTACATAACTTTAGGAGCTGAGTAGGTAGCGGTTTTGTATGTACTCACAAAGACTCTTCAGTTGCACTGAGCTTGCCATAAATAACACATTAGTCTGTGTTTTATTTTGGCTTGTTCTACGTGAAGCATATGGAAACCATTAATGCTACTGCCTTTAAAATCGGGGATCGTTTTTCATCGTGTCTCCACAGGCTTCTTACCTCCCATAACTCCTCCAGAAAAATTCTTTCTTTCTCAACTGATGTTGGCCCCCCCTAGAGAACTCTTCAAGAAGACTCCTCGGCAGATTGCTTCAATGGATGTGGGCAACATGGCCCAGTCAGTGGATATAAGTGGCCTTCAGCTGGCATTAGCAGGTAAGGAAGACTTGTGGCTGTGCTTCAGTTACGAATGGAAATGCTAATTGTAACGTGGCTACGAGTTACCTGAGAAACACTCTTGTCTATCCTAAATATGAAAAAGGCTGAACTATGCTTTAGGGTCTTCAAGCCCATGTTCAAGCACATAGAGAAACTTCAAGCAGAGATTACGCCTTAACTGTTTTATCCTACTTAACAAGCAGCTTTTTAAGCATATATGTCACTGCCTTAAACATAAGAGCGTTTTGCAAGTATAGGAAGATTTTAATCTAAAGCTTTGTGGGGAGTTTTTTGGGCGATTTTTTTTGGTGTATTTTTATCCCTTTTCACTCTTTGCGGTATTTCTAGTATGAGAGAACAAGCACAACTGTCACGCACCTGGCAAATTGGCTATTACAATTGTATCTTCAGTTTTATAAAATAAAGTCAGATCTTACAGCGTTAGCTCAAGAGTGGGAAGGTGGTCTACTTTTACTAGATTGAAAAGAAAAGCAATGTGATGCTTATCCTTTTGACAGGAGAAAAGGAGCAGGAACATGATTGTTCCGATCACGTTGACTGATGAGTCACATCTGGAGCTAATCTGAAATAGAAAATATTGTTGGGAACAAGGAGCCAGTTTGAACACCAAAAAATAGTGGTGCAAATGGACCCGCTTGCTTGAAACCTGACCGTCCCACTTCTATATCTGTACAATGTGGTTTACTGCTCTGAGGTCAGGCACTAACGAGGCTTTCTCCGTCCTGCAGTTGTATCTCGGTATCATCATTTTTTCTGTAGAATCTGACACTGACTTGTTATGCTGTGGTATACTGTCCCTTGTTCACAGTGTACAAATGTCCTCTAGTGTCCTCCTTAGCTACTATTTCCAGACTGCGGGATCTTTTGAAAATGCAAATTGAATTACCCTAACATACCGGGTCGCGGGGGAGACAAACCCTTTTGGTTCTTGTTCAGTTCATCCTGTCTGTGTTTTCTAGAATACTTTAGTGCATTCAGATTTTGTGAAACTTCAGGTAACTTGTGATTTTTAGCATAAGGCATATGTGATGCCTTAAAGAAGCCTGGAGTTTTTTCATAGGCTTTTATTTGTTTTCCCCTTGGTACTGTGTTTGCCTTCTGAACAGTTTGTTCTCACTAAAAATGAAACAGGTAGAGAACCTCAAAACTGTAGTTGTATGGATGGGTACTCTAGGCCATGCATTTTGATTTGTCCTTTTTCAAAATAGGAGACACTGATGGCTTAAAAGTACAGTACAAAGTCATTAATGGGGCTTTGCGAAATTAAGCCCTTTAAGATGTGCTTGTATCATTATTTACATAATACAGTAAACGTGCATAATTAATTGCTTACGAGCAGTTGCATGAGTTACATAACAAAACAAGCTGCATCTGAAAAAGCTTCATGCTGTCTTTCTCAAGCTTCTTGCTGTAGCTCCCTAGAATAAATGACAGCTTTCTATTCACTTTCTTAAAAGATAAATCTTTTGCTCATTTTAGTATTGTGATGCTGCTTGACTGTCTATTTGTCGTGTTTCGGAAGGTATGTGAGTTTTCCAGAAGTCTTCAGTATATTTCTTCAGTATATTTCTCCTTATGATTCAATACGCAGGATGAAGCTGTGCTGCTGACAGTGCATAAATACTTGTATTATGGTGCTTAGATACAATGTTTGAGGTGTTGCCTTTACACCCTTTCCCCCCACATTTCACAGAACGTTACAGCTGTAAGACTTGGTGGCCCTTCAAAATTGTGGTCCCCGAGACGAATTCAGGGCTATTTAGAGCAGGATGATTTTGACTTGCTTTAGAATATACCTGCAAAATCAGCTTAAAAAATTTAGAAAGCATTAAATTTTTTTCAATCAGTGTCTCTCTCCTAATCCTTTTTTTGTAAAGGGAGGAAAAAGATACTTGGCTTGTCTTCTGAACTTGAGCTCATTGTGACAATCCATTTGCAGCTGTATGGTGGGTTTTCTAGTTTTGAGTTTTCTTTTTTTGTTTTTAGTGTTTCCTCCCCTCCAAAAAAGGTAGAATGTTGGACTAGAGCATCTTGGAAATGAGTATTAAAACTTGCTTTGTTCTCTTCTCCCTTTGGTCTACAGAAAGTTCATTCAAGCCTCGGTTTCCCCCTATAATTTGGTTTGGCTGATCTGGTGTGTTACCGTATCAAAAATGTCACTTTCTCCTAGTTGCAGGGATGGGTCTTCTGCCAAAGTGCTCATAACTGTTTGTCTGCTAACCCTTATTTGATCTAAGAGTAATTGACCTGTATTAAAGTTAAATTTGTAATACATTGTAGAGCTTTCCTTTAAGAATCAAAGAAAGTTTCTTTTTACCTGTAAAAAGAAAAAAAAAAAAACATCGCTCCATAAGGGAACCTAAGTGTTTGTTTCCAGATTTTTTTTTTTTTAAATTTAAACATCTAAATTCAAGATGCTATATTCTTTCCTGTTAAATCACCATGTCCTAATTCTTGCTTCTGCTTACCTGAAACTGTTGATCCAGCCCTAATTCTTGAAGCAGTGAGGGTGAGCTTTTGAGCTTCAATGCATATAACTAAGGGCTCATGGAGGCTTCTAAAATCAGTGAATTGAAGGACTGTATCTTAAACTTTTGTATTTCTAATTAAGCATCATTAATCATCTGAGATTATGAGGATACAAACAAATTAGTGACTTACTTTTACCGACTGATAGATTTAAGTTCTAGGCTGTAATGAAAAGACTGAAAAAAGATGCCCAATATCTTCTTTCTTTTTTTTTTTTGCCTTTCTCCATAGAACTTCATTTGTTAAATGAACCCTTCTGTTCAATGGCTAAATGAAAGTACTCACAAGCTGGAGTTTGAAACAGTTTATAAAGTAGAAGACATGTTTTATAAACCAGCTCATTTAGACTTTGTTTTTTTGAAAATAACTGAGAAGTATGCTAGTTGTTGCCTTTAACAGAAAAACGTACCCTGCTGTGCTGTTTCAGTGAGCATATATGCAAATGTTTGCATGATCTGAAATAATTGGATAAAGTAGGACAGAAAGCCAAAAAAGAAATTAGCAATGGTTAGT